GCAGGAGTATTGTTAAAATCATCAAGCTTGAAAACATACCTGGAAACATCTCAGACCACTACCCTATCGTAGCAAGAATTAAATATGACTACTTTATACATAATAAACCTAACAAAAGGGTATGTCCGACTCCGAAAATCAACTGGGACAAAGTAGATATTGAGAAATATAATTCAACAATAGAAAGTGGCATATTAGAATTGAACAAAAACATCCAATCTATACAGGATATTGAACTTGCTTATATAGACTTAAATCAACTATTATCCAAGGCGGCATCAACTTCAGGACCAACCAGACGAATAAGGAAGAAGAAACCAAAACTACAAGTAATGACACCAGAAATTCGTAAAGCTATAACTGACAAGAAAAATGCATACTTTGATTGGAAACAGAACATCCGACCTAATGATCCCAATAATCAGTGGTTACAGAAGAAAAAAGTAACAACTTGTAACCTAAGAAAAGAGTGCAGGTTAACACTAGCAAAACAACAACTAGAAAGGAAAACTGAATTGATTAATGCCAAAAGTAACAACTCCAATTTATTTTTCAAACTTATCCGACGTCAAAGAGGAAGATCTAGTATGCATATTGATGAGCTAAATGTAAACGGACAAAAATACAACACTGAAGGGGGAATCTTGGAGGGCTTTAGAGAACACTTTGCAAATCTTGCTGAACAAAGTGATAATAGTCAATTCGACCAAACATATATTGAACAGGTAGACAACGAATATGCTACTATTATAGATATATGTAAACATGACTTCAAGCACATTCCAGTGAAGAAGCAAGAGGTCAAGGATGCCATTAAAAGCCTTAATCGAAATAAATCCCCAGATACCTATGGAGTCACTGCTGAAAATTTAATTCATGGTGGAGAAATACTTGCCTCATATATACAAACTCTACTAAACAGCTCCTTTAAATTCTGCTTTATACCTGATATTATCAAATTTGGAATATTAACACCAGTCTTTAAAAATAAAGGCAACAAGAATGACGCAAAAAATTATAGAGGCATCACAATAACTCCAACTCTATCAAAAATCATAGAAACTGTACTTAAATTTGGCATCAATCCCAAAATTTTCTGTCTACAAAATCCACTCCAGCGAGGCTTTACCAAAAACGCATCTCCTTTATATTGCTCATTAATTATGGAGGAATTTCAACGAGAGAACAAAGATCTGAAAAGAGAAACAATATTTGTCATGCTAGATGCTAAGGCAGCCTTTGACGTAGTAAAACACTTAAGCCTTATACGTAAATTATTTCATATGGGACTCACACCGCAAGAAATACTCATGATTGATGATCTATATAAAAATGCAAGATCCAGTGTCAAATGGAACGGTGAACAATCCAATGCATTCAATATTGAACAAGGTGTTCGACAAGGCGGTACACTTAGTGCCGACCTTTACAAAGTTTATGTAAATGATCTATTAACGAAATATGTAACACCGGTTTTGGAGGACATATTGGAATGATCAACTGTAGTGCGCCTACATGCGCTGATGATCTTACCTTAACAAGTAACTCTCAGTTTGAAGCGCAAATACTAGTCAACATAGCTAACGACTACAGCAAAAGAGAGTCATATATTATACAACCTACTAAAAGCGTTGTACTGCCTATACAAACTAACACCATTACCCACAATGATATGACACTCCTTATGGATGATAGGGAAATGCCTACAGTTGATAAAACCACACATATTGGGATACAAAGATCAAACTGTAACACACAACTAGTAACAGCGGAGGAAAATATTAAGAAGGCAAGAAGAGCTTTATACAGTTTAATGGCAAGTGGCTTGCATGGAGAAAATGGACTAGACCCATCTACATTTATATCCACTTTCAGAACCTATGTTATGCCCATCCTACTATATGGACTGGATGTTATAATGACCAACAGCAAATCTTTGAAAATATTACAATCTTTCTACAAGAAAATGATTAAACAAATCTTATCTTTACCAATATCAACTGCAGACCCAGCTATATATTTATTATTTGGATTACTACCCATAAATGCTGAAATTGATATAAAAATTATAACATTACTTGGAAATATTCTATGTTCTGACAAATCAACGGTTGAATAGAAAATCGCCTATCGTCAATTAAAAATTAAATCGTGCAAAAGCAACAGCTGGTTCATAGATGCAAAGAAAATCTGTTTTAAATATCAACTAACAGATCCTTTAGAATTTTTGGATACTGTAACAACTAAAGAAACATGGAAAAAAAGCATGGTCAACAAAATTAAAACATACTGGCATAGAAAGATCTTGGATGAGAAAGAACATTTCAATAGCTTACAATACTTATCTCCAATATACAGACTTGGTCATTGTCATCCGTTGGTCAGTATATCCACTTCTGACCCTAAACTAGTACAAAAATTGCCACCGCCAGTGAAAATCGCTACAGGAGGATACATCCTACAATCCCAAAGAGCCAAATATAATTCTAATGTAGTGGACCCAACATGTCAACTATGCAAAAATGGAGAAGAAACATTATCTCATTTCCTGCTTACATGAGTAACTTTAGATGCTATAAGAAAACCCATATTAGAAAGAATAATGATAACGGCTAGTAGAATTTTCTTTGAGAGCAATAGTGTAATAAGACCTATTATTTATAGTACATAGGGCTTCTAAAGAGAAAGCTGTATCCTGAAAAGATTTATAAACAGCTTTAATGAAATAAAGTATAATATGTTTAAAAAAAAAAAAAAAAAAAAAAAAAAAAGAGAGCAATAGTGTCAATAACATAGAACTACTAAGATTGATTTGTGGTCCTTACAACTACTGCAATAATAACAACGATCAAATTTGGGATAATATATCGAAAATTCTTGAACCGCAATGCAGGAAAATGATCCACCTACTCCATACAACAAGATATAGACTACTCGGTTTGGACAGTAAACAACCGAAAACGAGAAGGAAAGTTTAAGACTATTAGTTAATTAAAGTGTTATGTAAGTGACTATATAATACTCTGGTGGATGGAATTTTTATTTGCGTGATACTTATATATATTCGTGGTGGTGGTGGATATCACTCCAGCTAGACTTGGAGGTGTGCCTTGACTGGCAGAATTTATTATACAGATTACAGATGGCCGGGCAATTGCCTCGACTTTCATGAATTTGGAATTTATTAAGAGATAACAGCTTGTTACAAGTAATAGTTGCTTCTCAGTGAGTCATGTGACTTTGTTTACATTGGAGATCGATTAACAAACAAATAAGTTAGGATCCTTCTTGAAAAGTCATTAGAACTGAGGGCAGGGGACTCTTAACAGCTTGTTTGTTTTAATAAATTTTGATGCTGTTTTTATTGTGTTTGTTTGATATGTATGTATATATGTTTATTGTGTTAATACATGTTGGTCACAAACTGTAAAGTTTATACGACAATAAAATATTTGATTTGATATTTGATTTGATTTGATTTGATATCGATCATTCTAAGAATGAAATAAATTTAATTTACTTGTGATTTTGATCATTCCTTACAAAAATTACAGCGGCAGGCAACGTGGAAAATCCTTGGACCTTAAGTTTCATAAGATTTAGAGCCCTGTGAAATTTATAAAAGAAAACTGACAACATTAACTCTGAACTTTTGAACAAGTTAACAATATTGAGAAAATATTCAATAAATACTATTTAGGACTTGCAACAAGAAAAATATCAAATATCTTAATCATTTAAGGCCTAAGTCAAATATTATCAAACAAGAACTCAGAACTAGGCAAAAACATTAAAAATAAAGCAACAATTAAAAAAATGCCAGGGGGGTACACCCTGCACATTACAATATCTACATTTTTCAACGGATAATTTTGGAAATGTATGTAATAAATGGTGTCGGCAGCAAAGAACTGACTACAGTGCTAATGATACCCTCGGGGATGAACAGTATACTAACAATGACGTCGACCCATAGCTTGAAAATAAAGTTAGTGCGACTTTCTTGAATTCACCAGGAATGCTACCCCCCCCCCCCCCCCCCCCCCCCCCAAAAAAAAAAAATCCGGTGCACTGAATTGGTTCGTGGTTTCATTTAGATTTTCTTATCAAAATGGACGTTATACACCTTCAATTACAACACCTAAGTTATTTTATACGAATTGCAAAAGGATACCTATGGAAATATTTTTTTTAAATAGCCAATTTGCATGTGTCGGTCCACATTCATATTCACATGATTGCCAATGAGACAACTGTTCACTTAAGTTCAAATGAAGTGGATGTAAGCAATTGTTCTTTTATTTATTTTGTTTGGTTTTTTTTTACATTATAAATTCAATTTTTGTTATTTTTCTGATGGACTCTAACTTCAGCGCTTTTATATATAAGAAAGATTTGATATAGGGTTGAGATCATCTGTTCCTCGATATTTCTGCTTGTCGTTGGTTTCACATAGAAGTAACAAACAATGTCATCTATGAGCTTGGTGTTGGGATTAGCGTGATGGAATATATTCTTGTTGGTTACACTTACTTTTCAATTTCACATTGCTAACCAAACAACCTCTGTTGTATTTACATCATAGGAAATTTATTTATCGGATCAACCACGCAGTACAAACGATAATAGTAACCGTCTGTATTTACGAATCAATATCAAAATACTAATATTTCAATGGTAATTTTATCATCAATATGTACAGTGTGGTTGGAATTATTGTATAATATGACACGAGTTTCTGTAAAAAAGTTCATAACAAACACTCAAATGTAAATACACCATGCACATATCATTGAGATTATTCCGTTGCTTTAGCACTGTGGTATAAAAAAATGTAGAATAAAGTATAGTTTCTTTACATTTTCTACGTACACATATGTTTCTATAAAGTGTTCGTTCAGCAGTTTGAATTCCTGTTTTAAACACTTTTCATGTGTTAGGTTATCAACCCGTCCAGCCTAAAGGTACATATATATCTATTGGTTTGAAAAAAAAACAAGTTCAATGATAAAACTTTTCATTTATTTTTATTCATGTTTAAATTAAAATAAATATTACAACAAATATCAAGAGTCTACTTATACTATAACGGAAAAAAATTCTTTGTCAATATCGTCTTTCATTCTTATTCAGTTTTGCACATTTATAAAAGTAGATTGCGTAGCAAGTTCTCAATTACCATTTCCATTGTAAAACTGATCACTGCGGATTCATCAAATTGACAAATTCTGAAAAAGAAACAAAAAACTAATTCTAAAGATCTTAACGGTATAATCAAAGTGTGCTTTTATGCTTATTTCAACTATCATGTTACCATTTAATTAGAAACATATTGTTAGTGAAGGGACCACACATTTCAACATAGTACCTAAATAAAAAAAAAAACATTCAAAGAAAAGAAACTACATGCGGATTTCAATTTATAAAATAACCATTTCCGTTTGATGTTCAAATTGTATGTACCTCCCTGTGATGCTTGATACCACCCGTGGTTTGCTCTGCCAAACATTAAGTTAAGATTTATTTTTAAAAAAATTAACAAAATGAATCTTTGTTTTAAGATGCCTTTTTCTTGAATGTTTCAATTTAGAAATACATTTTGACGAAGTTATCAAAATAATCTTCTTTAAATACACTTTGAATATTGTCAGTTATGTAAAAAAAAAACATGGATTTCCTAGATTTTTGGTTGACACAAAACATTAGAACTTTTATTAATTTTATAAGTCCAATAAAAAATTTGCCATTTTAATGTAGCGCCATCTGCGTATCTTTCGTGAGTGATGAGGATTTATCTGTAAAATACTTCATAAATGGAAAAGTTCAATCGTTTTCTACCATTTGGTCCTATGTAGAATGGTCAAAGAGAGAATAAAAAACGTGTCAAAAGAAAACAAACAGATTAGACCGTTGGTTTTCCTTTTTGAATTGTTTTACACTAGTCATGTTGGGGCCCTTTATAGCTTGCCTTTCGGTGTGAGCCAAGGCTCCGTATTGAAGGCTGTACTTTGACCTATAATTGTTAACCTTTTATACATTGTGACTTGGATGGAGAGTTGTCTCATTGGCACTCATACCACATCTTCTTATTTATTGATACCTTGATTAAACAGCCTGAAAAACATAACACAGAAAACTAAAGAATGAGTAACATGAAACCCTACAACATCAACGGCACTCATCGTGTTGTTCGTGGCAAAACAAGATTGAGTGACAAATTGCTCATTCTGTAATGTCACATTCGAGTGAAGGATTGAATTATGGCTACAACAATCGCTGGTCATGTGTAAACCTATCATTTATATTCACTCATCGGACCAGATCAGCCAAACATGAATTATTCTAGAAAATGATATCCAAGTGAACGTTTCTATAAACTAATTTTCAAATCGGTTAATATTGGTTGTTTGTGTACAACTTGAGACAACTGTCCTTTATTTTCATTAAATTTACTGCATGCACAATTTATAAACCCCTTTAATAACAAATTTAGTGTACATTTATGTGAATTTTACTGTTTTGTATTGTGTTCTCTGATTTTTACTTAGACTAAGGACACTGAAAAAGTACAAGAGTGAAAGATATAGTAGAACATTTGCATTTAACTGCATTTTACTCTGGAAATTTCGTTTTGTAGCGATTTTCTGGTATTTGATTAATTAATATTTCAGATTATAATTGGATGTTATATAATATGATTACATACCTTCATAGTTAACTAGTCCGTCTCCATCAATATCAACAGCAGCTATCATATCCTTAAAGTCTTCGTCTGTTAAATGATCCTCCCCTTTGTTCAGCATTGCATCTTTCAATTCTTCTATGTCTATAAATCCATTCCCATCCTTATCAAATGTCTTAAAAGCTTCCATTAGATCAGCATGCTCATTTCTGTTTTGTGAACCAAAGGTTTTCATGTAGTATTCTTCAAACTCGTTATATTCTATTTCATTCGAACCTGAAATACAATGGTCTTTTTTTTTATCTTTGAGATCTTTATTTTAATTTATTTTATGGAATATTACTACTTCTACAGTCACATTTTACTGTTTTTGGACTCATTCGTAACCTATAAAATCCTCATTTTTTTCCATAGAATAATCACCCTAAACCATTCGGAAAGTAGACTAAGCTATTTTCCAAATGTTAGAGATAAAGAGAGCAATGTAGTCGTCTCGTTGGAAATCCTATCACATTTCCTTATGTTACTCTGCTTTTGTATAAATGTTAAAGCACTTCTACAAATGACGTGAAAATACAAAATAAAATTCCTCGCTGAACTATGCAGCTGTTAAATGAAGAATTATTTCCCCTGAAGTTGTCAGATGTCCATTTAGTATTTAGATTATCAGTCGGTTGACTCTAGTTAAATCAATTATCATTTGAGAAAATCTAGACAGTGGAATTTCTGTTTGATAAACATTCTTGATAGCATCTAGTTTGTTATGTCCGTAGTGTTTTTTTCTTTTTTTTTTTCTCTTTTGTCTTTTTTCTTAAAACGAATTATCTGTGTTTTAATAAAGTTGCACCCAACAAAACTCCCACTTACTTTCTTCAGAAATTGTGGAAACATACCAAACAGAAATCCCAAAGAAAACTAAGTTAAAATGAGGAGTCCCAAAAAAATCCACTCTTCTAAAGAAAATGCCTTGCATTAAAATAAGTAGCCCCTACTCTACTCTTACACCTGGTGGGCTCCACTTTAGTAAAAGCCAACCAGCAAGTCTCAAAATTGTGGGTGTCTGCTTATACTAGAACATTGCTAGTGTCTCAACCAATGCAATCTTCGAATTTTCCCTACTAATTTGCAAAGGCCTTTGTAAATCATGTTAGACATTTTCTGAAGATTGTGATATTGTTTGCATAGAAACATGTCTGTAATCATATACCCGGTATGTTAATAGTTTAGAATGCAAACAAGCATTTTATGGAAAAAATCAAATTAACAATAAACAATTTATACATTGCAAAAATTTGCAAATGACCACAATTATAATACCAACATTTTAGCGTCCAATTAATATGTATTTCTTTATAACAAATATAACAGCTGAAATGATTTTCAACGAAAACAAAATAATACGTTAGGCCACTGCAAATTGATATGCAGTTCTTCAGATTCGCTCGCCCACAATTTATTGGAACGGAAACATAAAAAAGAATTTGAGTCACTGTATACATATTGTGTCTTGGGCTAACAGATATCAATAATTATACATCTCTTATAGAATTAGTTCCACAGAATCGTCTAAAAAACTTCGTGATAGGATGCTCATATATACAGTCCGCCAAAAGTTAAGCACCACCTAAATATAACTGTCAATATTTTTTTAACTATTGCGAAAAAAATATTTATGTTTGGTGTTATGAATTGCCTTTAGCATACACTAAGAAAATTCATTACGACCAAAAAAATTAAACTCCGATATACCCGCCAAGCAACCTTTTATTTAAGGTCATCTGCACTTTTACAAATACACTGTTTCGATGCCTTTAAATCATCTTCCTACTGTCCCGCGTACAGGTGAAATTTGAACTTCACCAAGTCACTGTGAAATATTGCAAGCGGTAAGTTATCTGTGACTGAACGTTGACAAGCAATTGACATGTCAAATGCCGGTAGGAGCACTAGGAGCATTGGTAACCATTTCAATGTTAATCGCATCGTCATTGTCAGATTTTTACAACGTCATATTGACACAGGAACTGTAAATGATAGACCAAGGTCCGGAAGACCCCGTTTAACTACCTATCGTGATGACATACTACTTATTGGTGGTGCTAAAGCCAACCCATTTACTCCTGCCCCATAGCTTAGACACCACTGGCTTCCAGGTGGTCGTGTTAGTGTTCGAACATTGGTTCGTCGACTTCATAGAGGCTACCTAAGAGCACGTCGTGTTGCCAATAGACGTGCCCTAACAGCCAGGCACCGTATAATCAGGTTTCAAAGGGCTAATGACCATCGACGATGGAACATGAGAACCTGGCAAAATATTTATTGGTCAGATGAGAGTTGGTTTCTGTTACGACCAATTGACGGCAGAATACGAGTTTGGCGGGGAAATAAAACTGCCTATCACCAAAACAACAATTGCTCAACGACAGCAATCGTTGATGGTGGTGTTACAGTATGGGTTTTTTTTCTCATACTGTTGGAAGCTGGGTATGCATATTTTGCAGGGTAACATGAAAAGACAGACATACAGGGATTTTGTGCTTAGAAACATTGGAGTCCCTCATTTTGAGAATCCCCAACATACGTCAAGACCCTCGTACATGGACGACAACGCTAGATCACACAGGGCAAGGATTGTAACCGATTACAAAGACCAAGAAGCCATTGACACTATCTTTTGGCCTTCCATGTCTCCAGACCTGAACCCTATGGAACATGTCTGGGATGCCATTGGCAGAAATCTTAATCGCAGAGATCCACCTTTGCAAAATCTTGGCGATTTAAGGGGGGCAATTGTTGATGAATGGAATAAATTTGCTCAGCTAAAGTTCAGAAGGCTTGTACAGAGTATGAGACGCCGTGTTATGGAACTGTACCGGAAGAGAGGTGGTTACACATCCTATTGACTTAAATATTGACATTAAATTTGCTGAACATACCAAAGATTATTTGTAGAGACTTTCAATGACTTTGGGTGATTAATTGTTGTAAAAAAATAAAATCAAAGTAAAATTTAAATTCCGTTTCTGATTTGTGTAATTTTCACTATTTCTAAGAACGCAAAATTCAAATGCATAGACCAAACTTAAGTTTATGGTTTGTTTATGGCATATGTTAGCAAAATTGCTACGTGAATATTTTCTCTTTTTCGAGGATTAACTGGTTTTTTTAAATGAAAAAAATTTCGATGCAACAATCGTCAAGAATAGACGTTATTGTGCAGATAAGGAAAAAAATTATATAAGTCTAGAGATTTGCACAACGATACTAATATAAGATGGTATTAAACGAAGATGTTGTTAAGCCGAAATATTTGTCAACACGATTTATTAACAACATCTTCGTATAATACCATCTTATATTAGTATCGTTGTGCAAATCTCTAGACTTATATATATATATATATATATATATATATATATATATATATATATATACAAGTCTAAATTGAAAACAACGTTCAAACCTATGATTGCGTTGGATAAAAACCGCAATTTTTATACGTGTGCATGCAAAAAAATTTCTTGGTAGAGGCGTCTAAATACAGCACAAACAACATTTTCCAAAAGACCAAAAAAAGTATTAAAGTATATTTTAACAAAACGCATTTGACTAACAGGTCGATCAACAAATGTTCTTAAACCCTGCTGACTGCCATTGGCGATTGCCAAATAAACGGATCACCGATGTAATAAATGGATCTTAATTTTAAATTTGATACTAAACAGAAAACAAAAAACTTGCGGAAAAGATGATATACCGCAAACAAAAGGTTCAAAGGTTTTTGTACACCATATCCGGATTTCGACAAATAATGTCTCTTCAGTGATTTTAGGAATCGAAACGGTATTTGGAAATCCCAACAATTTACCTCAATTTAAGATAGACTCTTGAATTTTTAGGAGTTAAAATAGGATGAACGGATCATATAAACCCTAAGGCAAATATATATATATACAAGTCTAAATTGAAAACAACGTTCAAACCTATGATTGCGTTGGATAAAAACCGCAATTTTTATACGTGTGCATGCAAAACAAATTTCTTGTTAGAGGGGTCTAAATACAGCACAAACAACATTTTCCAAAAGACCAAAAAAGTGAAAAAGTATATTTTAACAAAACGCATTTGACTAACAGGTCGAACAACAAATGTTCTTAAACCCTGCTGACTGCCATTGGCGATTGCCAAATAAACGGATCACCGATGTAATAAATGGATCTTAATTTTAAATTTGATACTAAACAGAAAACAAAAAACTTGCGGAAAAGATGATATACCGCAAACAAAAGGTTCAAAGGTTTTTGTACACCATATCCGGATTTCGACAAATAATGTCTCTTCAGTGATTTTAGGAATCGAAACGGTATTTGGAAATCCCAACAATTTACCTCAATTTAAGATAGACTCTTGAATTTTTAGGAGTTAAAATAGGATGAACGGATCATATAAACCCTAAGGCAAATATATATATATACAAGTCTAAATTGAAAACAACGTTCCAACCTATGATTGCGTTGGATAAAAACCGCAATTTTTATACGTGTGCATGCAAAACAAATTTCTTGTTAGAGGGGTCTAAATACAGCACAAACAACATTTTCCAAAAGACCAAAAAAGTGAAAAAGTATATTTTAACAAAACGCATTTGACTAACAGGTCGAACAACTGATGTTCTTAAAACCTGCTGACTGCCATTGGCGATTGCCAAATAAACGGATCACCGATGTAATAAGTGGATCTTAATTATAAATTTAATACCAAACAGAAAACAATAAACTTGCGGAAAAGATGCTATACCGCCAATATGAGGTGCAAAAATTTGTACACCATATCCGGATTTCGACAATTAATCTCTCTTCAGTGATGTTAGGAATCGAAACGGTATATATATATACTACATGAAACTGGCGGTCTTTAAAAATACCACTCACAATGTTACATACCATCTTTGTCTATTTCTCGAAACATTTCTTCAAGTTCATCTTTAGTTGGGTTCAGTCCTAACCCACGTACAACACCAGATACTTCAACTCTTGAAAGTTTCCCTGATTTGTCTTCATCAAAAATGTCAAAGTATTCTCTAATTTCTAAAATATTTCATTACAATTACAGTGCGTATATGTACATTATATATATACTTGAATTATCTATCACACTTTGTTTCTTTATTAAAGATAAAGAAACCATCTCTCCTGTATTTGTTTCACTAACAGGGTCAAAGTCAGAATTTTTTATTTTTCATAGAATTTGAATATTAGAGAGTATCTACTGTACTGTACCCAAACATTTGTCAATATTTTGTTTTAGTTTCCATAAAATCAAAATGTTAATTATTTAGCGCTACATGTGGCTGTTGAAAACATGTTTATACAATATTTCAAATTGTACATGTTTATTTTAAATGTTGCATCAAAGGACTTCTTTAAACACAATTGTTTATTTTGTTTGCGTCTGAAAGGCTTCCTTCTGCTTTATAAAAATAATAAATCGAGGTTCAGAGTGAAGCTAACTAAATACCCCAGAAGCAAGATAATTCAGATGAAAATACTTAAAGAAATATGTTAGAGAACATACAATCTCAGCCTTCTCCTAATGCAATAGCATAAAAAAAACATTTTACTTCTCTAGTACCTGTTGAACATGCATACATGATTCTACACTTGAAAACAGATTGAAATAATTAGTTCAACTATGTTTCATAAAACAGATACAAATATCTTTATAATAGCAACATTTCCCCTTCTTTTCATCCAGATTGACTCACACATGCGACTTGTCGCCGCATGATTACTTGCCAGCAGGAAGTCCTTTCCGTGATTTCATTACCGATTGGTGGGGTTCGTGTTGCTCAATTGATATTTTTTGTATTTAATGTTTTGAAGACTTTTGTTTGTTTTTCTCGTTTTTCTTTAGACCATGATGTTGTCTTTAACTGAGTTTAAAAAATATTTTATTTTTCAAAATTCCTCAATAACAATTATTCAATAGAAATAAAGGGATTCGGAAACAAGAAAAAGGTAAGTCTCCCTGAGACACTTATGCTCATGATTTGTGATTTCCCATTTGGTACATTCTTTTTCTTTTTGTTGGACAAAAATCCAACAAGTTTGCAGTTTTTAACTTGCCGTAAGTATTTATAATTTGTTCAAGTGTTCTTTAAACCTCACATTACACACATGCAGCTGTGATACTGTATCTATATTTCGATGTACAACTGGATGTTCGAATAGTTGTAGCAAGCGTCTATTGCAGTTTTTTTTTTTTAATATTTAACCGATCATAACTGTAAAATTTACAACAAATGAATAAAATAGAATAAAGAAATATATAACACAATAAATAAATCTCTGATGATCTTGAGTTTACCTTGTTGTTGTTCTTCACTCAGCTGAGAAGCCTGAAATTTTAAAACTTATTATATCAATGATTTTTATTTCCGACATGTCAAACATAACTGATTTTCGACATAAGTATTAAGAAAACATGGATTTTATATCCATTAGTTGGATAAGGTGGAGCCTTCAACTAATCCGGTCTGCTTTCTTATATGAGGCTAAATTACGTTTCAAAACGTTGTTAGCTTCAATCCGTTCATATAAAAATGATAATATTTATTACAAAAACAACAAACAAAACAAAATATGATAGACAGCAACGAGTCTCCTGGCTTGTTAAACATGTCTGCCTATGCTCAACCCTCTCGTTAACATGGGACAGTAGTACACGATGCTTGTAACAGTACCACATATCACTCGAAAATGGCCCGACTCGTCAGATCGACACAAAGCACAAAAACAAAACTTACAATAAGGCTAATGACACAAAGTATTCGAAGTTGCTGAAGGATAGTTCAAAACTCATTACATCTAAAAAAATAAATCATGTTTCCTAGACTAAAACCGATTTTACTCATCATAACATCTGATCTGAAGCAAAAATATAGGAACGACCATTCTCTGGTATAACGGTTGATGGATGTATTAAGGTTAATGCACTTTTCATTTCAATGGACTGTGACACAATTGTTATAATTGTTTGTAGTTTAATCATTACAGAATTTTCTATCTCTTATATTTAATTCATTTCCGAAATGAATACATTCAAATCTAAATGAAAAGTTTAAAGTCAAAGCCAATTATTCTGTTTGTATTTCTTTTCGTCTATCATTGATGATATAATTGAAGTATTTTAAACAAGTTTGTGGAATTTGACAAAATTAGAAAATGAATGGCTTGCATGGTTGATTTTAACTGTTTAGTTTATTATAAAGTCTGACGGACAGTTATCTGAAACAGTATTGATGTTGAAACTTTGTTAAGGGGCATATCCATGATTTATGTCTTAATAATTGCACTTTTACGGAAGCGTATATCGACCACGCGTTATTAGTAATTTCGACGTAAACTTGTGTTATTTTATGAGAATTAATGCTTTATAAGATGATAAAATAGGATTATTATATAACGATTATGTCATTATTAATTATAATGTTGCTTTGGTTTTCTTTGGGTGTTACTTTATAATATTAAAAACAATTTAATTAAACTGTCGATATTATTATAATTGTAAACTTGTGTTAATTTATGAGAATTAATGCTTTATAAGATGATAATATTCGACTATTATCAAACGATTATGCCCTTATTAATTTCAATGTTGCTTTAGTTATCATTGGGTATTACTTTATAATATTAAAAACAAATTAATCGGGGGCGTAGCTACCTTGTTAATGAAGTGGAATCACAAACTGAAGGACGAGGGGTCTGGGGGCTGCCTAATGCCCCCAGTTGGTCCAGGGCAAAGCCCTGGTAGGGGGCCAGGTGGCGAAGCCCCTCGGACGCTCCGCATATATAGCGTTCCAAAAAACAATCAAAACCGTATTAAAATTTGTACAGTTTTGTTGCGTTTTTTTTTTGTCAATTATTTGTTTAACTTCGACATATACAAGTGGAATGAGGACTAAAATTGTAATGTGCATTTTTTGTTCACCGTGAAAGCTTTTAAAATCACGGAGATTTCTTCCATATATTAGTATTTGTATTGAGCAAAGTAGATATAAAAATATGGAGATGTCGTATGATTGCCAATGAGACAGCTCTCCAAAAGAGACCAAATGACACAAAAATTATTAACTATATGTCACCGTACGGCCTTCGACAATGAGTAAAACCCATACATTACAAAGTGGTATCAGTTGTTTACCATTCGTTAGATGTGTTTGAGCTTTTAATTTTACCATTTCCTAAAGGACTTTCCGTTTTGAATTTCCCTTTGAGTTCGGAATTTTTGTTATATTACTTTTTCAGTTGGTAGACAAGAAGTAGGAAGGGAACTGACAGATAAAAAATTCATGAAGCTTCTTACTAAATATTAGATTTCTGCCAGAAATAGTTCCTGAGAAAAATGCCACCAAAACTTCCATGTATGAATATATGTACGAAAACAAAATGAGGTCGGGAAACAGGAAGTAGGAAACTGAGTAGTATTTTGCTTTGATGAATAGTTGCTGAGAAAAATGTTGTTACGGACGGACGCATGGACAGATACACAGTAACCAGTATACTCCGTACTCCGTTGGGCAAGGAACGGGAGGATAAAAAGAAAAAAAAATGTCATTCACAATAATTGCATTATGTTGGAACCAAACCAGCCGTTTTTACAGGTGGTGGCCACAGATTGCACGACAAATCTCTTAACGTAGAAAACACATTCTGTATATATTTTTCAATTTCTTTATAATTTTAGATTTCGCTTCCCGATCACAGCGTCCATCTTTGAGGTTTTTCTGTGCTGTAGTAATCGTAACTTCCTGCCTATGCTCATCTTTAATGATTTAATTATTTATAACTTTTAAAATGTATTTAAGTATTGTGCATTACTTCATATATTTCATAATAAGAATATAAAGATGAGATTTTAACGTCTAGTTGACGATAACCATGAATAAGTAAGGGACTTTCAACAATTATAATAATATCGACAGTTTAAATTAATTGTTTTTAATATTATAAAGTAAAACCCAATGAAAACTAAAGCAACATTATAGTTAATAATGACATAATCGTTATATAATAATCCTATTTTATTATCTTATAAAGCATTAATTCTCATAAAATAACACAAGTTTACGTCGAAATTACTAATAACGCGTGACCGATATACGCTTCCGTACACTTTGGTTCTATGGTAAACAAGAGTTTTACATCCCAAAATATCAAATTTAAAAGACATATCCTAGAAAAACCACATTGAAATCGTAAATCCACAGAATTACCTGACAATCATAAAAAAAAAGATGTAGAGACAACTCCAAAAATACCATTCAAATGATGCATCCCTAAATTCAACAAATTAAAAAAAAGTTGTAACACCCCACAAAGTCGGAGTAGAAAAGCCTATTTACAGAAAATTTTTGTGAATTACTCCCTTATCTTGTAGAAATATAACTTCGCTTAACGTAAATGTTTTTTTTTATTTTACTTACGCTTGGTTAGCAACATTATTAATCATAACAAGCTTGGTAGATATTTTAATTTACCCGAGAAACTACTTAATTAAAATATTGCTGCCAATTTTGAACAAATATATGTATGTCATACTCTGCGTTTTACTTATTGTTGTATTGTGTATAAGAGTGATTTAATCTTTAAAAAAGTATTTAAAATTTCACTATGTCTGTGTATGTGATATGTTTCACGTATAATTAATTTGTCAAACATTGTAAATATCCTATAAGTTGTACTTGCTTTTGGAATAAGATAATTATATAATTGAAATAATCATGATAATTATTGATTGGATACTTATAGCTACATGTATATGGTTCAGTAGTACATTGTGTTACACGAAAATCATTATCACGTTACAAATGTTTAAAAATATCGATATTCGTATTATTGTTGCCAAAACCTGCAATATCATTCTAACAAGGAGAAACAGTATTTCATATAATTAATTGCTATATATATCTATTTAAATGGTCTCTCATAATTCTTTAAAGAATGACACATATATATACTTTATTTGTTTTTATGTATGTTTACTGTATATTTATATATATATATATATATATATATATATATATATATATATATGTATCATGTTTTAAATGTATGTTGTATGTGGTGAGATTTTAATATACTATTGAATCTTGAATCTACAGCCAGGACAGTCTGATTATCCGATATATTTTTTTTTCAAAATATAAAGAGATTTTAGGTATACGTAAAAATCCCAGCAACCAAAAACCAAAATAATTTTCTTGCATTTACCGTGAAAAATATGTATCCATTACTTACTTCAAATCAAATCAAATATTGTTCAGTACTATTCAGTCCGTTTATTCACATACCCCACCATTGCAGGGGTGTACATAAATGTGACGACTTTATAATGGTAGCATATTTGATATAAAACTGAAGTTTTATGTTTCGAGTATCTTGTGTGAATAAATGTTTTCGTTTTTATGGTTTGCTCTTGGCAGGAATCATACAGAACTAGTTGGTGTTAACTTGTATATATGGCCTAACAAATATTTTATTATAAACATACGGATGTAAAATGTATTTAGTTTTGATCTTTCTTTCGCTGCGTGACTAAAATAAAAGGTATAATAGTCTAACGATTTTATTACTTAACTTTGCCATATTTTCTTTAACATGCATAGGCATATAAAAAGGACGATATCGTTGAAAAGCACTAACGAAAAAGAAACTACTATCTTACCATAATCAGATCTTCTTCAGAGAATCTCCATTAAAGTTTGTTTACTCAAGGGTAAAGGAAAATAGTCAATAAGTTGATTTACTTTTTAATATCTAAATGAGGTATTCTAAAAACATTTTCTGACGTGTTCCTAACATGACAATGAAACCTTTAAATAATCCTTAGTGATTCTTTGTATAACCGCAGTTGATAGTAACTATAAATATAAAGGTTATTGAATTTATATTTAAGATTGATTAAAAGTGGGGTTAAGGTTCAGTTCTTGATGTTTAACATATGAAGCAAGATAACTGTTAATTGATCTATCCATTTTATTTTGAGTCTATCGAATGAGGATTAGTGTGGTGAAAATGTTTCCATTTAACAACTCATATTTTGACTTAAAAACTGAAATACGAATAAAGTGATATTTTAGTTACACATCAAAAAGACTTTAACCCAACAAAAAAGCAGTTCGATGATAAACAAACAATTAAACCAAGAAACATGTTCTAAATTGAACCAAGTCTGGATAAACGGTTAATGGGATCAACAGAAAAAATCAATGAAATAGCTTATTATGGCAACGAACTCCCAATAGAATAAAAAAAGAGAGAAAACGCAAACAACTGACAAGATTCGAGACTTTGAACAGATAGAAAAACATTTAGCGGAATGAGAATAGTATATTGAATAGTCAATCCTAACTACCAATTATCTCGATCATCATCAGAACACGGATTAAATAGCAGAATACAAATGAATCCAGAACCAAAACTTATTTTAATTGTATGATGAAATAGTTTCAAGTCTTAACACATGAAAGGATGCTCACAGTAACAGTTTTGGAAAGCAAATTCAAAGTACTTCATCTGAATAAAAGATGATACGGAAGTTTATGTAATTGGGACATAAAAAAAATGGAAATATAAAAAATAATAGCAGCAACATTTCCGTTTTGTTTTTAGATTTGAAACTATATATAACGAATTGATATTAATCAGCAAAATTCAAGAACTGAGTGATTCAACAACATCATTTAAATTTTAATAAAAATTACGCTTTCGTACACATTTTCTACTGTGATCTAATTATGCTCTATTGTTACTGGTCACAGAATAAAGTATGTCATGGCATGAAGAGTGCAACGCTGAAAGTACAATAAAGTACCTTATATGTATTTCTAAAAGTAGCCAATTAATTTGGAGTACTATAAAACTCAATTTGCCGACCTTATCCAATTTATTATACTTTGCAAAAGTTGTTTTCCGTTTTTATCATTCTTGTTGTATCCTAACAGCATTTAAGATCAAATTCTGTATACTGTTGAAATAAAAACCTGTCCTGATTTTAAAAAAAAATAGTCCGAGTGGTCTCTCTGATAGACGACTCGACATGCTTCTATAGACGGTCCGATTTATGTTTTGTATAATAAGGTCCGAGTTGTCTTTTACTCGGGCATGAGTTGGTTTCATTATAATGTTTATGATGAGTTCCAGTACGGCATGACTCGTGGCAAGATATATATTTTTGTGTCCGGAATAGCCTCAAACGCAGTATGATGGGTTTTTTTCTCTCATTATTTCATGCGCATGAGCAAATAATCCCCATATAATTTTAAAAGAATTGAAAAATATATTTTTATGATAATCATTGAAAATGTTTACCTTAACTTGGTGGTGTTTAGAAGGTTTTTAAGCGAAATACGATATATACATGACAGGCAACAAATTTAGCATCATAATAGGTAACACAAGCGCTCCTTGAGGAAAAAAAAAGAGTAAACGTACCATACGACAATATCTTAACAATGGAATAAGTAGAGGAAACTGTGGTTCATGAAGGTCCCTAAAAGTCAAAATGAAAAAAAGCTGTCGGTCTGGTTGTTAGATATTGATAGGCAAAATCAAATACAGCAATATATTCTAAAAATGGTCTTTTATCAATTAGAATCAAGACTTAATATGTAATAATTACACTAGACTTTCCTTAGAATAGAAACATGCCTACATTTGCTGACTAGGACATCTATAACTCACTGAACATAATGTTTTGGAAAACGTTTTGTGTTTGAACTTGTTGACAGAGCAGTCTATGTTGAACCATCTGTCAAAGCAGTCAGTAAAGGTGTCGATGTTGAACCATCTGCTAAAGCAGTCAGCTAGTACTTCTTAGTTAATTTATGTTGATCATTGTCATTTTGCTTAGTTTCATCTGTTACCTATCATAACATCGGACTTCTTTTAAACTGAGTTTTACCGTGCGTTTTGCTGTGTGCTTGTTTATTCGACATTGACTAGAGATATATATAGAAGGTTGAGATCTCACAAAACATATTTAACCCCGCAGCATTTTTGCGTCTGTCCCAAGTCAGGAACATCTAGCCTTTGTTTGTCTTGTGTGTTTTTTTTTTTATTTTGGTTCATTTGTATCTTTCGGAGTTTAGTTTTGCGTCCATATCGCTGAACTTGTTTACATTATTGTTTAGCTGGAACCTGCCACCGGGAGCAGGATTTTCTCGCTGCGTTGAAGACCCATTGACGGACTTGGGCTGTTTTCTGCTCTTTGGTCGGGTTGTTGTCTTCTTGACACATTCCCCGTTTCCATTCTCTATTCTACTAGTATCTGTATTTGTTTCCTGAATTACTAGTACTTAATACACAAACATCTTCTAAATTTTGAATTTGAAACTAACCCCGTTAATGATTTTTTACTAGTCATATACCATCCTTCTTTTGTAGAACTCTAGACTTCATTGTTGCAGCTTAGCTAAGTATGAAAACGATAACCATGTTGTGACATTGATTCATCGAAATGTTTTGAAAGAAACACTTTATCAATATTTTACGATATGGAACTCATAATGATTTACTTCACCTTTAATAACAACAGACATGAATACAAAATAGAAACATACTATTCTAAGAAGGTATATGAAATAATCTTCACAAACACTTCACAATTTTGTTGATAATAGACTCTAATGTTTTTGTTCAATTATTTACGTCATCTATATCGCCATCATCATTTCCACAAACTCTGGAAAATAAAAGTTATGAATAGATTTAGAATATGGTATTATGGCTTATTGTATTCATCGGCATTCAATTAAGACAGCTTAATAAGACAATGACTATTTCTCTTATTGATATTTTAGTGAAAGCCGATTCTCTACAGAAAGATAATTGAAACAAGCGCTTTTCTATATTTAGAATGTTGTGATACTACTAAATTGTCAAAACAGCTTTTGTATCTATTCACAAAAGTCGTACAATTTTTCTGTAAAAATTTTCCAGAAAAAAATCATCAAACGTGTTACCATAGAAATACGTGATTGTTATATCAACAATTTTGAATAGAGGATAATATGAAGGTTACAACATGGGTTCGACAATTCTAGTTTCTCAAATTACCTCATTTTCAAAGCTGTTAATTTTAGCTTAATCATTTGAAAATGTGTCTTGTTATTTGGTTTTTACAATTCCTCTATGATTCTGCACAATGAAGATAATATAAATCTATATAAAAATATCGGTATCGTACCTTCAATATTAACTTTTCCGTCGCCATTTTTGTCGGCCATATCAATCATTCCTTGTGCCTGCTCCTCTGATAGGTCTTCCATGAATTTCATTAATTCATCCCGTTCGATGAATCCATCGTTATTTTGATCAAAGCATTTAAAAGCTTCTAAAAGAGATTGTTTTTCGTCCACATTAGCTATGTTGTTTACATAATATGCTTGAAATTCTTCCAGATCGATAAGACCATTATCTGAAAATGGATGGATTTTAGGGTCAATAATTTTAGTTTATGCGGGAAACTGGACCAAAGAAAAATCACTAACATACAGTCTTAGCATAGATAGATATTGTATTTAAATAACTGACATGTCAGTAAAGGTACCACTGGAGAATAAAGCTTACAAAAAGTATCGTTTTTGCACCGTAATGGAATCCTAAGAAATTGAAAAAAAAAAAACTATCTTGAATTAGACAGGTGTTTCCTAAAATTGTCAAATAATATGTTACAGACGATCAACATCTGTGATGAATTTCATTGCATTACAATGTATTGTGTAGGTGAAATGCTGCTTACACAACATGTTGAAGATTTTTTATATTTTGATGTTAAAAGTCCAATAATCCAGAGACGACTAATACAAATGTGAAAAAAAAGATATGCACATTGAAAGTTGACAACTGTGTAAAATTTTATTGTATTCGAAAGCATTCTGTAAAACCGGGCAATTATCTATGTTTTTTTTTACAATTGAAAAATCATTAAAAAGATAAGTATATGTACACATGACGATTCAGAGTTGTGTAACATTAAATATTCTTTGTATTCCATTGAGTAATGTATGAGGAAAAGAGACTCACGAAAGCTTTTGGAAGGACAGACGGACCCAAAGACTATCAGACAGAAGGACAAAGTGAAAACAATAGTGCTCCCGAATTATCTCTGCGGGCCCACACTAACAAACATAATAAAAAGAACATGTGTGTTGCCAATGAGACAACTATCCATCAAAGACCAAAGAACAAGCAACTTTGGTCACTGGTGGAGAATTGTCTCATTGGTAATTATCAACATATTCTTGTTTTTATATGTGAACAATAACAAGTCACAGTACAGCCTCCAACAATTAGCTAAACCCACGCTGTAAAGAAAGCTATAAAAGATCCCTGAATAACAAAATGTGCAACAACTAACGGCTTGATTTAAACTAAAACAATTCTGGTAGACAGCAACCAACGACAACCACTGGATAACAGGCTCCTGGTTTAGGATAGGCACATGAAGAGTATATAATTTTATGTTTGTAACAGTATACTGTTTACATAACAATCAGCAATATCTCTTAAGTTATAGTATTACAAGAAAATTTAATTTTGGATGTAACACGCCTTCTTATTGGTTGAATGATTTTTGTCATTCAGCTCAAAGACATAATATTGTCATGTGACCGAGACGTAATCAACGTTTTTTCATGATTTACCCCTAAAAAATGGAATTTAGAATTAAATTATTAGGAATGACTGTAATATTTTTATGTCTATTCGAAATAACCTCAAAAATGTGGTACACACATTTAAACAACACACTGCGCGGGTTTTTCAGTGTGCACCCCATGTTTGAGTTTTCAAAACTGTTTCAGATCTAAAAACAAAACAAAAAGAATAAATAATTAAATTTTGATCGGTACTGATTATTATTGTAAATGTCGTGTTTGGTTATAAAAACAAGCGGATAAGAAAAAGAATTATGTAATCTAATATCTTATGTTCAGAAAGTAAAAAAAGTATAGGCAGTGGAATAAAACATTCATTTTCCTTGGCTTAGGGGGATATGAAGATTTGTTCACCCAAGAAAATTCATATTTCACGAGGGCATCGCAAGTAATTTCAAATTTTGCGGAACTAGTAATACTAACCATTTGTGTCAACTTCTTTAAATACTTGTGTGATATCATCCTCTGTAGGGTTATTTCCTACCACACGTAACAATTTCGTTATTTCTTCTTTAGATAGCTTACCATCTTTATCTGTATCAAATCTATTGAACCATTCCTTGATATCTGAGAATTAAAAATAATTTGTGCACAAAAAGTAAGAAATCCAATGATGCAAAATTCTAAGAGGTACAACAAAATCATGGCTAAAGGATGATAAGACAAACGACAAACAACAGTCCACAGCACACTACAGAGAAAATATAACGCTTGAACAACACGAACCCCACCAAAACCAGGGTGAACTCAGGCTCAAGTAAAAACAAGTGATGACTCATTTTTTGAAGAGTAAAGGGGGAGAAGAAGCTAAAACTCTTGGAATTTCGTATAAAGTGGGAAATAATACTCCATATAATAGTGCTGCTGGAATGTTGCTACAAGAAAATGGAAAATTCATATCAAAGTTAAAAAAAAATGTGTTCGAGGACACGAATCTCCCCGCTCAAGCTTGCTTATAATACATGAAAATACCTTTTAAGAGCATTTGATGTCACTGCTAGTTTTTAAAGAGTTGTATAATTTTAGTCTTAGGTATTTTTGTGCTGTGTGTTATTTTCATATTTTCGCTATTTTGTTTTTATTTCTTATGTAATAAGTTTTCTAATAAAATCTGTTGTGCCCAGTGAATTTCCCAGTTCTTGAATATTGCTTTGCTTCTTTTACTTCGTTAGCTTAACTTGTTTATTTTCGTAAAATTTGCTAGAGGCAAACTAAAGTTAGAGTGCTGAAACAAAATATTTTGCAATTTTCCAAATTATAAAGGAGCATAACTCTATAACGGTAAGTGACTCACTACCCAAATTCGAACTCGGTCTGCGAATTTTGGTTCTTTATTGTGTATAAGTTTGTGCATGAGGTAAACTTAAGAAAGGTAAGTATGCTAGATATACTTACTGGAGGTGTGTTATCGACAGATTGTAGGCATTACTATGGGCACCAACTGTGCCCCTTTAATAGTAGACTTGTTCCTGTACTGTTATGAATCACAGTTTATGGCCAAACTCAGTTAAGACCTTCATGTCTAAATTCCATTTAATTGATAAATTCAATAACACTTACCGTTATCTTGATGATATATTTTTCGTTAAATAATCAAGAATTCTCTAAATATACTGCCGAAATTTACCCACAACAACTTACTTTAAATAAATCAAAAATCAACAGCAATAAGTGTCCTTTCCTAGATTTAGATATTTCAGTTTTACACCAGAAACTTTACACAACAATTTAACACAAAAGGGTTGATTTTTCTTTCTCTATTTTTAATTTTCCTTTTCTGGACGGTGATATTCCTCTGGAACCAGCTAAGGGTGTTTATATATCCCAACTCGTTCGTTATGCCCGTGTCTGTAGTGACGTTTTGGATTTCAATGAGCGTAATCTATGTATTACTGATAAATTATTAAGTCTGGGATTTCGTTACCACAAATTACTTAAAACTTTTACTAAATTCTTCCATAGATACAAAGATTTGGTTTGCAAATTTGGTTGTACCTGTAAAAAACTTATTCCAGACGGAATAGCACATTCTTAATTCTACGGTGATGTTGTTTACCGAGCCCGGAAATTTATATACGATCCGGGTAAATCCTTTAAATAAACTTATTCTAAAAGGTTACCAATTCAACACTGTAATTAGATATTTGAATATTGTTTTTATGGGTATAAATATTGATTTCGTTATCAGTAAATTAAAATCACACTAATGCTTTTGTTATACATGCACTTTAACGATACTACAATCTGTCGATCGTTTGGCATTTTGGCATTGCACAAGTTCATGTTTTTCTCTGATTGTTAGTGACGTCTTTACACTAAATCCATTGGATGTTGGATGTGTACTGATTGATATCTTAGTCTTAGATACATGATTTTTTTTTTATTATTTGTTATTGGCATTGAACTAGCTGTCAGTAACTGCGAGTACTCTCAGATCTGTACTTAGTGTCCTATTTGTTGCTAGGGATGAAGGATTGATAAATACCCTGTCATGTCCTTCTGTGTTTATGCTTTATGTTTTTCTGCTTTGTATCGATCTGATGAGTTAAGCCTTTTTTAACTGATTTTTATAGTTTGTTCTTTATGTGGTGTTGTTACACCATTGCCCCAGGTCAGGGGGAGGGTTGAGCGCTCACAAACATGTTTAACCCCGCCACATTCTTTATGTACCTGTCCCAAGTCAGGAGCCTGTAGTTCAGTGGTTGTTGTTGATTCATGTCTGTCATATTTGTTATTCGTTAATTGTTTTGTTATAAATTAGGCCGTTAGTTTTCTCAATTGAATTGTTTCATATTTTTCATGTCGGGGCCTTTTATAGTCGAATATACGGTATGAGTTTTTTCTCTCATTGTTGAAGGCCGTACATTTGCCTATAATTGCTTAGATAGAGTGTGGAAACGAAAATGAGACGGACGAAAGGACGGACGGACAAGGGTTACACTTAATATCCACTTCGCCTAGCGGCGGGCTCATAAAAAATTGAAGTTATATCTTTTGTCCCAAAATGTACATTTCAATCAACCTTCACTTTCCTTTTCTCGCTGGAAGTCAGCTATAACCTAAACGTTGCTGCTTATTTTTAGTTCAATAAGACGCATGCAATCAACATAGTCTCCAATCTTTGAATTATTGAATAAGAGGCATCTATTTGTAACGGAATGTCAAGATAAAAGTCATTACAAAAGACAATGTTTTAAGTACACCACATTCTTTCTTATTCATTTTTGTAAGTTTAGGGATATTTTAACCATAAACTATATATGTTGGTGTAAAGTGTAGTATAAATAAATAATAACCATAGAGAAGACTGTATCAAATCATACATATAAATAAAGCAAAGAACACTTTCACAAAGGAAAATAAATGAACAGAGTTCCAATGTCACCGCGTTGCACATATTTTATCTGTCCAAGGGCAATAACTTATAAAACTTTTGACTGGTTCTTCAAACCTTTTTTTTTATAAATGTTTGACAGAAATGAAAGCTTGTAATGCAATTTTCAATATAATTAATATTCACAAGGGGCATAACTCTTTTAAAATTAGTTAATCGGCACTGATTTTTGATCTCGTCCTAGACATTGATAATATAAACCCTTGATATAATTTTTTTCTAAATCTAGCAAGAATTGTACACATGAGAGCGCTTGCAATGCAATTTTCCATATAATTAATATTTCCAACGGGCATTCTCTTTTAAAATAAGTTGATCGGCACTAATTTTCTAACTTGTCCGAGACATTGCTAATATAGACCTTTGTTATAAATTTGTTAAAAATCCGGCAAGAATTATACACATGAGAGCGCTTACAATGCAATTTTCCATATAATTAATATTCCCAACGGGCATTCCTCTTTTAAAATAAGTTGATCGGCACTTCTTTTTAAACTTGTCCGAGACATTGCTGATGTAAACATTTGATATAAATTTGAAAAAAATCGGGCAAGAATTGTACGCGTGAGGGCGCTTACAATGCACTTTTTTAATTTATATTTCTAAGAGGCACAACTCTTAAAAATAAATGATCGGCACTGATTTTCGAACTTGTCCGAGAAATTGCTGATATAAACCTATGATATAAGTTTTATAAAAATCTGGCAAGAATTGTACATGTGAGAGCGCTTACAAGGCCGGACGGACAGACGCACGGAAGCACAGACGGACGGGCACACGGTGGTTTTATGTCCCCTGCAACGCGTTCCGCGGGGGGCAATAAGTCCATTCGATTACATTTGCAAGGTACAATTTAAAATTGTCAGGCTCAAAACTAAAAAATACAATTCAAAATTAATAAGTTTACGGCAAAAAATTATATATTGTTTCTCAACCAAACAAGCCAAGAAGAACTTTCGATAATTTTCATTTTAAGTAGGTCAATTAAAAGTTCCTAACTATCGGAAAACAGAAAATAGCTGCCCTGCACAGAGAAAATAATACGTCAGAACTCAAAAACAGTAAGCTCCAGACCAAATATAGAATCAATCCTTCATGAAAAGGAGGAGAAATATGAAACAAAAGCGTCCAATTCGACCAGACACTGACAAAGTCAATTTGATATATCGCACATTCTTTAAGAGAGGAATGATCTATGAATTCAACGTTTCGTATTATTTCGTATAGCGTAGATGTATGTTATTCAGTTTGATACGGACTAGCCATGTTTGAATAGTTGAACCCTAGCATATTTTTATGAATACACTATGCATATATCTGTTAGATTTTTTTTTCAAGTAATATATTTGTATAGATATATATATACCGGAATGTATAAAGTCTTACCTTGCTTCTGTTCTTCGCTTATTTCACCCGACTGTAATTAGAGTAAATGATGAAACAGACTCTTCTTCGTATCAATATGGTGAGTTCATAGAAAAACTATACAATTTTGTAAATCACGAGCGTATTTCTGTTTGTTTGATAGACTTGTATTGCATGCGTGTTTTTGTTGACAGTTTTTTTTGTAAGTTAGTTGCTCTTCGGATTTTCAATTCTGACATCTTCTTTTATTTATAAAATACTCCGATCATGAAATGATACTAAAGAATGACATCTAACTTTGCCGGAGAAGGATGAATTATTGAGCTAAACTATCTTGAACAATTGGTATAGTTTCGTATTTAATTAGAATAAATTACTAGTATTAATATGCGACCTTTGCAATCGTGTTTTCCTCCTTAATAGCGAAAAAATTACATCGTTCTTTTAAAGAAAGTTTATAAAACACTCATGGTCTTTTAGAAGGAATATGAAAACTTATCATACCTTGAAGTTTGAAATATTTTTCTGCTACTCAAGCATGTTTATTTCTTTGTTTGAATTTGATTTCATGACATGATTTATTTAGCATTTGTTTTAAAAGAAAAATTACAATGTAAATGATAAATAATAAAACCATATGCGGTAAAAAAAAAATCATTTTATCAGTATGGATTCTACCAGACTGCATTCGTGCCCTTATTCTAGTCGAAGATGTGTAAATTTAATTTAAAAATTCACCAGGAAATAAAATAAAATTGTTTCTGATGGTCAGTGTAAACGACTTCAATACATGGTTTTAGTCTGTCAATCTCCTTTGTAAGTTAAACTGAAAACAACAACTGATAAATATACGACTAAGAAGGCAAGAAAAGCTTAGTATGCTGAAGTTTTTTTGTTTTTTTTTGTTGTATCTATATTCCACCTGTCTGCTTCTTTCTTTCCAATACCGCCTCGGTGGTCTCGTAGTAAAGTGCGGGGGGTCGTGGAGTCGAACCCCGGCCGGGTCAAACCAAAGACTTTAAAATTGGTATTTGCTACTTATCCGCTAAGCACGCGGCATTAAGGAGTAAGAGCAAAGACAGGTCAGCTCGGAGTCAGAATAATGTGTCCGGGTAAGGGGACTTGTCTTCCTGCTGACTGTTGTGCACTAGCACGTTAAACATCCGGCTCAGCGTGTCGGTCTAGTACAAAGCAGGGCTAAATTTCATATTACATTTAACATGTTCTCGACCTGAATTTGCATATTAATTTGCCGTTGGACGTAAACAGCCATCCATCATCATCATCTTTCGTTCCATTATGCCGGTTTTTTTTTATTAAACATTAAAAAGTGTAAGAGATTCGTAATGTGACGTTATGAGTCAAATTGCGGAATACAGAAACCTCTTCGATGGTTTAAACAATAAATGGAGATTTGGATATATGTCAATAAGTCAGAAATTAAAAGAGGCCCAGAAATAATAAAAGAGCATCTTGTTTATGTATAATGGCTTTTCACACATAAAAATATGATGTTAGTTGCAGATCTTTTATTGTTCTGTTGTGTTGTTAGTTTGATGTCTCATTGATACTAGTGAATATCCAACGTCTTTTTTTTTTGTCATAGCCTAGGAATTTCCGAAATATGCTTTTAGTATCCCCGCTGATACATTAGCTTTTACAAAATGAAGATTATATAAAAGATTACCAAAAATTTGGTGGTGGAAATAGACTATTCGTTTAACCATCATACTTTTTATTTTAAATCAACCATTTTTTTCAGTACATTCAACATATACACAAATAAATACCACCCCTAAAAAATATTTGAATACATTAAAAGACAGACAAATGATAGCATTTTTCTTTTAGATAAAACAACTTACCATACTGATCCTATTGTCTACAACTAACAGTGCAAAATATTGACACGTTACCATTTAAGTATCCGTATTCATGCATTGTAAATATCATATAATTCAAAAAGAGAAAAGTTAATTGTTTATAGACAAAAGAGTCGTCAGGCATTTCGCTAAAGACATTAATAATAGAACGGTAATTCAGTACTTAATATTAATAAAGAGGATTCTTTAAATCGTGTCATAGACTTTACTGTCACCGCAAATTTTCTATAAATCAGAATTATTATTTCATTTATCTTCAACAGAAGTCTAGACCTAGAATTGATTCTGTCTTTAATAATTATAGTCGTGGTGGAACGTTATACAATTGAAAAAAATGCTGAAATTAAAGTCTCGTGACCATATAATCAATATCAAAATATTGATACCAGAGTGTATCAGTTGCCAATAGCAAACAAATGTCTTTTGGTTTTAATGTGTCGTCGGGTTGCTATTTTTTATTGACGTTTTCCCGACATATCCTTTTATTCAAATGGATCGAAAAATTAGAACTATCGATCAGTGCTCAAATGATCAATATCTATTCATCTATGTCGAAATCCGCATAACATAACATGAAAAAAAAACAATATTCATTTCTATTGTTTTAAAAGTATAGTAAAATTCGTACGGTCAATAGAAAATTTACGTTCCTCGTAAACCTGATAACTTTTGAATGATGGGAATAAAAAAAAATATGCTTCATTGCTTTCGTTTTCAAAATGAATTATAGATATGACCGAATTCCTTACAAGTTTTGAAAGTTTGAAATATGCAGAACCGTATACAAGTACTACTGATTTATAACAGAAGTATTATTTGACTTTATTAATGACTGAACTGCAAGCATACATTAAGTACATAATAAATGTGAAATTGTTAGATTGTATACAGTGTCATGTATTAATATCAAACAGTACGAGGAAATCCAGTGATTCCATTTGGATAACGTTAAGCATCACAAAATGCTTTGTATTTGTCGAGAGATAGCCTCCATTTACACTTTTATAACTTTGGTCAAATCTGAAATGTAGAAATTTCTAAAATTAAAGCGTTACAACTAAAAACATGACGAAATTGCTGAAAGAGGAGTGATTCAGACTGACACATTTTATTAGACCCACGTTGATAGAATAGTTAAAACTTTATAATTATGTTTATTTATAATTTAATCGCTATTATATTTAAATGCAAACATAGCTACGCCCTCAATTTCGAAAGTGAAATGAATTAGTACTCCTCGCCCATCTTCCTGCTTCACAGCCAATGCTTTAATGAACACCTTGTGTAACCTTAGCAAAGCAATATATAGGCATAGAGAAGAGAAATGCGATAATTCACAATTTACGAAAGCTTTGACCACAAGAACAATAAGTTTTGGAGTTACTTTTTTTTTTATATGATGTATCTAATCCTCTTCATTTTAATTCTTTCGCTCAAAAAATTGTTTGTACTTGCCATATACATGTAAATCAAGATACTGGTGTCAAAACAAGTCTTCTTTGATACACTCCCTCTGTTCTAACGTGAAGTATAATTATGATTGCCAAAGAAATATATAACATACATACCGGCAAGGTAGCAATACAAATCATAAGTAGAAGAAGGACAAACACAATATCGTGGCTGAAATTTTAGAATATGACATTCAAACTCATAGCATTGTAAAATTAGCAGTAAGACAGTTTTTATACTTACCTTCATAATCTATTTTCCCTTGACTATTCACCTCTGCCTCTTTTATCAAAGACTTTGCCTCCGATTCTGATAGTCGTTCACCTTTTGTTGTGACAATTTGTTTTAGTTCATTGGCATCTATCAATCCTTCTTCATTTCTGTCAAAAACTCTGAAAGCTTGTCGTATTTCTCGTTCTTCGTTCTTTCTGGTATTAAAATGCTTTGCATATGCATCGAGGAAATCACTATAGTCCACCATTCCTGCACCTTCAGTAGATAATTATTGCACCTAAGTTATCGTCGGAATCATGAGTAGGTCCTAACATTTAGCTCATACATAACTAAGGGAAATCTTTCTGGAAATTAAATTTCTAATCCTATCTATAGTGTAACGTTTATTATTAATATCTATATGGATATAGGATGGACTTAAACCCTGGTAATTTTATGAACAAACTTTTTTTGCTGGAGACAGCTTTTTATTTCTCGGTAAGATCTTCAGCAAATTAATCTAAATTACAGAACAGGATTTTTTTAGGAATTCAGCAAGGAAAGTCTTATTCAAATCAAACTTAAATCTTTCATCACGAAAACGGTAAGAATCAGATGAAAACACAGAAAGATAACAACACATCAAAGTGGAATTAAGAATACACTATCCAGCTCCCAATCCATGTATATTGTAAAATAAATAAGAATACATAAAAACGTCAAAGATACCAGGATTATAATTGTGTACGCCAAACGTGCGTTTCGTATACAAAAGATTCAATGTTATGATATTACAGTCTTGAGGAATATAAAAAATTGAAAACAACACGTTTAATAATTTCATGCGTCCGAAGCGCTTTTCTGGATTTACCTTCATCAGGAACGCTCAATGCCAAACATTTGAAATCCGAGGGATGTATAAGTACCGAAACAGATGAAGAGCTATATGACAAAAATACCTAAAACAAATAGCCAAATTCATCTAAGGTCAACTTTGCCTGAGGGAGTTGAAACCTTAGTTTCTTTATAATTTCAAAATTTATAAACGGAAAATTTTAGAAAAGTTTGTTATAAATCATGTCAATACCAAAGTACTGACTACTGAGCTGATGATACCCTCGGGGACTGATAGTCCACCAGCAGAGGTATCGACCCAGTGATGTAAAAAATTGAAAACAACACGTTTAATAATTTCAGTTACAGCTAAGAATTATTATATTGATACATATTATATATTACTTGCATGGTTACAGTATAATATATCATTGTTACACTTACGATCTGGTCTTGTTGATTGAAACATTTCTTGCAGCTCTTTCTCTGAGGGATTGTGTCCCATACCCCGAACTATAGTGGCATAGTCATCCTGTGGCAATTTGCCAGTTCCCTCAGTGTCGTACAAATCATACATATCTCTGATTTCTGCAATAACAGATTTAAAATGTAGAATAACGGGTGCAGGTTATAAATGACGAATACAGAATTCGTGTTTCAATATATTTAAATAATTGTTTATTTTTTACTTTTATGAGTAAATCTTAAGTACTGTGTCATCAAATATCATGGTAAATGCAAAAACGGATAAGTCTTAGAAATAAATAAACGCTCCTGGAAAGAGGAAAATAAAATGTGAAATTGAAAGTAAAAACGCTACTCTATATTGAAATTAATGTAGATTAAGCATGTGTATTTATAAAAATCATTTACAAAAGGGGTTTTGTTTAAATATGAGATGAGTTTTCTACGTACCATCTTTTTCTGCCTGGCCTAATGAAGAAGCCTGTAAAATATATTTCAAAATAAGATATCTTGATGTCTTTTTTGTGTAACTGTCTATTCATAGAACTAAAATACTAAAACGTTATTTATGTTTGCTTCTTAACTAGAAAATGTCCAATCAATTTTTAATCTAGAAGACATTTTTATTTTGCACAATCTTATTGTTCCCCTTTCGCTTAGACGTGAAGTTAGTATCATAGAACGAATGTATATTCATTTTGTACAAAAGACTTTCAATAAAATACACATTTTATGTTAACTTTTTGTATAATCAGGATTTAAAACTTACCATTATAAAAAGTAAAGCAAAGCTATATAATTACAATTAGTTTTGGACATTGATATATACTATACAAAAGAAACCAAAAATCATTTCATTAGTTACAAATAGCCAAAATTATATTATGCCATTCATGCGTTTATAATTATTTAATAGGAAACAAGGTCACAATGTTTCAAATACTATATCAAACTTACAGCAATTGCAATTATATGTACAAAGTATACGTGATGCTATCGCTAACAAGAAATTAATTATTGACAATATAATTACTTTTAATTTGCAGAAAACAGCAGGGTTACATGAACAACAATGAATTATAGATTAACAGGTACATACACATATATTGAAAAATGAATCATTTAAACTTCTAAACATTGTCTTTTTAACTTTCGTTGATTTGTAGTAAGACAAAGAGAAAGGTAGCATTGTACCGGATCGTTAAGCAAATTAATTGAACCAAATTTTAAAGAACATATGTGTCGTGTTTACAACTATTTCGACACTATTTTAACTCTAGTGCCCTTAAACATACACATGCACAGTCGATATGGTAAGTAAAAACAAATATTGTTTTATTTTTTTCAGTTCTGTAATCGTACTTTCAAATACAAAAGTCGTGTTATATTGCATACATCTTACAGCTTATGATTTCATTTATTTTCAAAGCTGTTTCAGGTGTTTTTTTGGTCATTCAAATGATAAAATATACAAAAAGAATTTACGAGTTTTAATTGAAATTTATTTACAACTCGTGCGTATTTTCATTCTAAATCACAGGTAAACACATTATTGATAAATCAACGTAACGTAAGTCAACGTTAGGGACCGTCTTGATTTTGTTGTAAAGTGTAAAAGGTCTTTTTCATCCTTGAAGACATTCAAGCAACTTTCATGAAAAACAAGCAATAAAATTGTAGTATCTAGTATCTAGTAACTAGTATCATAATATTTGAATGGGATTTTGTCTATAAATGTGCTGTCTCCTTTATTCTCGAAATAATCATCTATTTTGCCTATGATACCTTTAGCCTAACAGTTCACCATTAGAGGCAGCAACCCAAGGATGGTAAATTTCAATTTAAAAACAAATTCTTTATAGATACCATAGCTATGTTCGAGTTTATAGATTAATCTTTATGTTATTTTCTTCTTTATTACAGGGTGACGGGCTAACAGAAGATCAAATAACAGGTATCTATACCCAATATTACCTTATAACTCGGGCGTAATTCACGCCTTCTAATTTTACTACAAAAATATGACAGATCTAGTCGTTGAACATTAACAACACAAATAAAAGTGCAGTCTTTCCATACGAAAGGGCATATAGCAAAAAATCTTAAACTATTGCAGACAAAATG